TTGAAGAGTTCTTCATCTTGTCAATACAAGTAAAATGTTTTTTAAATTATTGATATCGGACGCTCGGTTCTCTTAAAAAACTTAGTTACCGTTTTTGGCACTTTTTGCTCCTCATTTTCGGAACGGTTAGACCTGCCTTCGCTAAAAACTAAACAGCACGTTTCCTTATCAATACAAATCGAATGGTTTTTGAATTATTCAAATCGGTTGATCGGTGTTCCCGAAATCGTCGACGAAAATTTGTATCCACACACACACATACATCCATTTTTTCTAAGGTATGAATATTTTATCAAAAAATATTCAGAAATCTTTGAAACGTAAAGATATATACAAATTTTCATTTTTGATCTTTTTGCGATTACTATAACTTATCCTACGGGAAGTTAATATTAAAAATAGTGTTAAAACTTTTTTTCGCTTTTAATTGTTTTATATACCTTATAATAGTTTTTTAAATATTTTTTTGTTTCTAACTCGTATTCTATTTGGTGTATTTATTATTATAAGGAGCCGATTTCATTGAAAGGACCTTGGCAAATAATGTTAATTGTTTATTTGGAAAGAGAGTTCAAAATAACAGAAAAATAAACCCCCATTTTTATCTTTCTATTCTATCTTAGTAATTGAGCTTTATCTCTAATTTTTTTCTATTTTCAGGAAAGTAGACACTCACATTCATGCCGCATCTTGTATGAACCAAAAGCATCTACTGAGGTTTATCAAAAAGACCCTGAAACAAAATGCTGATGAGGTCGTGACCCACACGAACGGAAAACCGATGACCCTCAAAGAGGTTTTCCAATCTATGAACTTGACTACCTATGACCTTACTGTAGATATGCTTGATGTTCATGCGGTAAGAAAATTGATAATTAATTAATTGATTAATAATAGCATCGATTTTTTACGAATAGTACATTTCGAAATACAGAATCTTCAGAAAAGGATCTTCTCCTACTACTCCAATTTCTATGTATAATATCTTACAAAATAGATAGATATAAAAAACGTTTAAAGATATAAAAAACATTTTTTCAAATTTGTATGTTATAATTCTAATACCTTTTTCTAATTATTTTTAATCTATAATTTTTTAGGACCGAAACACTTTTCATAGGTTCGACAAATTTAATGCAAAATATAATCCTATTGGTGAAAGCAGATTGAGAGAAGTTTTCTTAAAAACCGATAACTACTTGAACGGAAAATATTTTGCAAGAATTATCAATGTAAGTAATTTTTCTACAAAATTTCATCTTTATCAAAATTTTATCTGATTTAATTTCATATAAAATAAATGTGAGTTATTTATTTATTTTTTATTTATTTCATTATTATAGGAAGTTAGTTCGGATTTAGAAGAAAGCAAATATCAAAATTGCGAATTGAGACTTTCAATTTATGGTAAAAGTCCTGAAGAGTGGGATAAACTTGCAAAATGGGCAATAGAATCTAATGTTTATAGTGATAATGTGCGCTGGCTTATTCAAATACCACGATTATAGTAAGAGTAGATATATTATTATTTATTATATTAATTACCACCCATAAATTATTTATACTTTGAGTATAATATTATTGTTTTTTATTACAGCGATATTTTCAAATTAAATAAGCTGATGAACAATTTCCAAGAAATTCTTACAAATATCTATTTGCCATTATTTGAAGTTACGAATGATCCACAATCGCATCCTGAACTACACAAGTTTCTTCAGGTATGATCAGAAATCTGATTAATATTTAATATTATTAATTATAAGTTGGATAAATTCAAGTAGTATTTATAATTTTCTTCTATAGTTCGTGATAGGTTTTGACTCGGTGGATGATGAAAGTAAACCCGAAAATCCATTATTCGATAAGGATGTTCCGACACCAGAAGAATGGACAGACACTGAAAATCCGCCCTATGCATATTATCAATATTATATGTACGCTAATATGACCGTATTGAACCATTTTAGACAGTAAGTTATCAATTTAAAAATGTAAAATTACATTTTTTTATTTATATTTATATTTTTTTATAATTTTAGCGAGCAGGGGTTGAACACATTTGTGTTGAGGCCGCATTGCGGAGAAGCTGGTCCAATTCAACACTTAGTTTGCGGCTTCATGATGGCCGAAAACATTTCGCACGGACTTTTATTAAGAAAAGTAATTATTTAAATAATTATTGTCTTAGCCTTAAAATGAATTTTAGAAAAAATACTGCTTATTTTTAGGTGCCTGTACTTCAATATTTATATTATTTAGCGCAAATTGGCATTGCTATGTCTCCTTTAAGTAACAACTCGCTATTTTTAAATTATCATAGAAATCCTCTTCCTGAATATTTAGCTAGGGGCTTGTGTGTAAGTTTGAGTACGGATGACCCATTACAATTTCATTTTACCAAGGTAAATAAGATTTTTTTAATCTAAATTTGTTGAATTTATCATCACGAATGAACGGGCGTAAATAAATTTTATTTTCAGGAGCCTTTAATGGAAGAATATAGTATTGCAGCTCAAGTTTGGAAACTTAGCTCTTGTGATATGTGTGAGCTTGCTAGAAATAGTGTTATTATGAGTGGATTTCCACACAAGGTACAAAAACCATACTCTTATACCTAATGCACATATATTAAGGAAAATTTTTACTTTTAAAAAAATTGTGCACCTTATCATGAGTCTTTTACTCTTTTAGATGAAACAATATTGGTTAGGACCAAACTACACTCAGGAAGGAGTGGCCGGTAATGATATAACAAGGACCAATGTACCCGATATACGTGTTGCCTTTCGATATGAAACTTTACTCGATGAATTATCAAATATTTTCAAAGTCGAACAGCCAAGGGATTCTGCAACGACTCATACACAATGACATAAAGCCAACTGGAAAGATGATAAGAATAGTTTGTCGCGGGCTAAGACCAGGGGTAAATTATTATATTTTGATATTACATATTTATATATACTCTTTTGTTTTCAAATTGGTTTTGTGGAATCAAACACAATTACACAAAGTTATATATTAACCATTGCCACTATAACCGGACTCACCAGTGTAAGAGGTATAAGAATTCATTTTTAATTTTGCGTACTTAAAGTTTTAGTGGAATATTTAAAATTGTTTTTTTATAGAAATTCAGATTTTTTTACCAGAACTAAATTTATTCCTTAAAAATATATTTTTACATTCCATTTTTGTTCTCCTATTTTCATATTAGATTTGTGGAACATTTATACAGATTTACATTATATTCATTTTATACTTTGCCCATACACACCGACATTTAAAAATACATTTATAAATTAATTTTCAATTTTAATTGCATGAAATATGAGTTGTTTAATTGTTATTATATATAAATCATGATTTTTTCAGAATTGAATAAAATGCGACGATTTGATGTTGCGGGACCTCACATGCAGTAAATAACAATTACACATATAAAAGTTGTTTTATTGCAAAGTTTTAAAATATTTTATTAATTAAATTGCACTCTTGATAATTTATATATATATATATATATATATATATATATAATTTATAAATGTAGGTTCTCACATGTCATGAATAATTATATGATTTTAAGTAATTAAAATATAGTTTCGAATTTATATTGTTCAAATAGATGTTAGATTTTATAATGTGGTTATTAATATATTTTCATCTGTAATATGGATAAAAAATAAATTGTATTATAGATACAACATGATTTACTTTTAATATATTTATAAAAAAATCTAATTAAATATTATAATTATGTAAGCAACAAAAATGCTGTCTTTTTATGAGTAATGGGTAAAAATGCTAAAAATTTTTGAACTGTTGCTTTTGGTATAACTTAAAACAGTGTTTCTAAATTTTCAAATTACCCGCTTTTTATTTCGTACACAAAGTTGTTTTATGTCTAAGACCACGTGCTTATTTATCTACGACCACGTGCGACATTTATTATAATAAACGAGTTGGATGTTTGTGCAAAAACATGTGTGCATTGTGTAATTAATAATAGATTAAATAAATTTATATAAACTATGTAAAATAACTAAAACATAAATCAAACATCTCCAAATATCTGAAAATGCCATTAATAAAACGTCCATAATCAATTATAATTATTATTATTAATTATTATTGTCTCTAAAATGATTTCTACAGTTTTTAGAAGAGTTTTATTATGTACTTTACTCATAACAAAATCATGTTATTAATCAAATTGTGGCAAATGATAAATATAAGAATTTCTGCTGAAACAAGTGAGCATAAAAAAACTGTTAAAATAAAAGTGCGGTTACAAAATGCATTTTTTTTTTATTAGATATGTATAATTATTTGTGATCGACTGTAATGTTTTATATGATTTGTAATGTTCAATTTATTAGGTAAGTAATATGTTTTCAATTGAAAGTAGCACCTTTCATGCACTAATAAATCTAATCTAACAAGATTAATATCCTAGGATTCTTAAAGAGTTTTCGACTTCTAAACTTTGCATAACGATAGATTCCGATGTTGAAATAACATACTAAAATGTTTCGGGCCTACGAAAAACGGTTGAAATAGAAAAAATTATCAAATTAAAATGCAACTAGTTTTAATAATGTGATTTTAACAATTACTAAAACTTGCAGGAAAACCTACTTTAAAGCCTAACTCATAAGACTCAAAGTGTTTAATTTAACTATGTGCTCAAATCAAGTTTGTTAATTCTATTCAATTTATTCAGAAAATCTTTATTTTAATCAATGATCAGTGTAGAAGGTGTAGTCAAAAAAAATATATTGGAACAAATTCCAAATTTAATTAATTTAATTATTTTTTACATTACTTAGTTATACAAACTTATACAAAAGACATGATTATGCTCTTCACAAAATATATATTTAAAAAAATAAATACAATATATTGAAACTATGCAAGATTAAATTTAAGACAAAACAATACTCTTTAGATTTTTTTGAATCTATATACAATTTTATATTCTTAAAATATATATCAGCTTATAAATTATAAGCTGACAAGAAGCGTTCAAAAGACTTTTGCTTCCAAAATGGAATATCCTTTAATTCTTGTAAACATCGAAATTTTCCAATTCTTTCCCTACAAAAAATCAAACCCAAAATAAATAATTTTTTTTAAATCAAATAATAATAAATATTTTTAAAAAATGACAAATTTATTTACCTGTGTTCAACAATAAGTTGTGCAGTGACTGGTCCTACGGTTTCTAAGACTTGCATATCCTTGGCAGATGATGTATTTAAAGTATGTAATAACAATTTAGTGACTGGTTGAGAATTTTTTGATAAACTGTGCCTCAATTTTTTAAGATGTTCTTTTGATTTTGATTTGTACACATTGTTTCTATTAGGGACTCCATATGCATCAAGTATTACAGGATTGCCCATTTTATCTGAAAAGAATTCATGATCAATAACACTTCTATGACAAATCAAAGATATGCTTACCCATAGTTAAGTTAATAGTTAAATGTGCATTGTTTGATGGCACAGGGTGATGAGGCACACCTAAAAGTAAAGGAATATGCTAATAAGAATAAATGAATATTATTTTAAGCACAATATTTGACATTGGCATGGGCTCATTACTAACCAATTGTCTTGTTTCCTTGCACACTGGCCACAGAAATCATTCTGGTTTGGTTCATCTTATTATTTAATACCGTCATATTTTTTTTGTGTTGTATTCGGATAGACCTACGAACTTTTTTATTTGATTTAACAGGATTTTCTAATATAGTGCTTTGAAGTAATGTGTTGTCCAAAGAACAGCTTTCAAGATCAGTTACATTTTCCATTGCTGTTAAAGTGATATCTGTTTTATCTTTTTTAACATTTTCTTTATTTTGTTTTTCAAGACCTTCTAATCGAGACATAATCGCGTGCATATTTTCACGCAAAATTTCAATCTCAGGACTGTAAATTAGAAAAGGCTGTTGAAAATCTTTGAAACCACATACATGTTGGGTTTAAAATAGGAGCTATAAGCAACAAAGAACCAATTCCAAAATGAACAAATAAGGAAGTATGTATAAACACAAATTTATAAAAATATGAAATCTATTAAAATATAATAGATTTCATGCAAAAAGTGAGTGCACAACTCTACATTCTTTCTTTCCATAAAAATTTACAAGAAATAACTTGTACAGTAAAAAAATGTTATTCAATTAAAATAAAAGTTTTACCTGTACGTTTTTGAGTTACCAAAGGCACTAGCATGTGAAGAAGTAGATATTCTAGACATATCAGTAATAAATCCTGAATAATCTAAAGGAATTGGTGTTTGTTTTGGGGTGACCATTTCCATTCTGGCAGCAGGTGTGCTACTGATTTGTTTAATTCTCCTATGCCAAAAATCATACCAATTTTCGAAATTAAGACATTATATATATATATATATATATATATATATATATATATATATATATTGAATGGTAGAGTCTTGGATTTGTGTATATTTTTTGTAGAGTTTCGAACAAGAATCCAAAAATAATACAAAATAAAAAACAAGAAAAGTTTTAATAAACAATTTCTTTATTTAATTATTTGTTTACTGTCAACGTTTCGGAACTAGGTACGTTCCATCTTCAGGACATCTGTCAAGAAACATGATCTTGATAAGATTTAAGCAAACAATATGTTTAAGAATATTAAGAAAATAGATTTTTCTTAAATAATAAATTAATTGTAACAAATAATAATGTACAGAAATATGATAATATGATCAAAATGAAAATGATAAAAATAAATGAGTGGATTATTAGAACAGGATATTAAAAATGATAGAAATTTTTTGAAGTTTATGGAAAAATTTTTTAAGAAAGGATTAATGATAAAATTGAATTAATTACCTGTATGTTTGAATATACGTTAGCACTTTTTCACTAAACAAGAATTTTTGACAAAAAATGAATTTGTGAGTTATTTTTCCGCCGAATAGTTAACTTTTGTAAATCAAAATTACTAAAAGTGTTGTCTTTTTAAAATTATTATTTGAAAAATAACTCACAAATTCATTTTTTGTCAAAAATTCTTGTTTAGTGAAAAAGTGCTAACGTATATTCAAACATACAGGTAATTAATTCAATTTTATCATTAATCCTTTCTTAAAAAATTTTTCCATAAACTTCAAAAAATTTCTATCATTTTTAATATCCTGTTCTAATAATCCACTCATTTATTTTTATCATTTTCATTTTGATCATATTATCATATTTCTGTACATTATTATTTGTTACAATTAATTTATTATTTAAGAAAAATCTATTTTCTTAATATTCTTAAACATATTTTTTGCTTAAATCTTATCAAGATCATGTTTCTTGACAGATGTCCTGAAGATGGAACGTACCTAGTTCCGAAACGTTGACAGTAAACAAATAATTAAATAAAGAAATTGTTTATTAAAAACTTTTCTTGTTTTTTATTTTGTATTATTTTTGGATTCTTGTTCGAAACTCTACAAAAAATATATATATATATATATATATATATATATATATATATATATGAAGTTGAACATTAGTATTAGATAATTTGGAGAGAATAAATATGAACAATAAGATTATAGTATCACTAGCTACGAAAAATTTAGTTTTTGAAATATAAATTTGATTTTGATTTTATGAGATCCTAACAAATATATTCATATATGAGTATTTTCATAAATGAGTAAAATACAAAATATGATATAATACTAACGTTGGTGTGCAATCAGTTGTACTATTGAATTTCGTTGTTTTCTGATATATTTTTTGTGGGGTACTGAATGTATTATTTTTTTGGATAGGTGTAAATGGTTTTCTTGTAGGCATTGGTGATTCTGTGCAAGATTTGGAAACCGCTGTTGTTTTTCCAATCGTTCTGGCTTGATTTAATGTGGGTGTATGCTTGCCAAAAGGAGGCCTTTTGAATTTTGGTGTTTTTGGTACAAGAAACATCGTATCGTCCTTAGTATGATCACCATCGCATTTGTTTTCCTTCTAAAATAAAAAAAAAACATTCAGCAAAAAATTATAATATAAAGTAGTTAGAATAAGAATAATGCCAACCTTATACTCATTATATTGGAGCTGTAAGAGGGGTTTACTACGAACACTTTTGGCTCCAGAAACAAATTCTAAAGTTGTTATAGTTCGTTTTATATGCTCCATAGACGGACTTATACAACCAATAAGTGTTACATAATTGTTACTATTTAAAGCATCTTAAAAAAAAATCATTATAATGATAATCCTGTTTCACTTTAGTATACATAAAAATAGAGTTATCTACCTTGTAACAAAGTTGTTAATACTGACTCTCTATAACTAACTGTATTTTCACTTTTGGCAAGATTACGAAGTAACAAATGTAAACCCAATAAACTTTGATTGATCTTGATTCCTTCTGTAAATGCCGCTCCTTCATGTCCTGTTTCTCTAACACCCTCCGTTCCTGCCAAATCAACTAAGTGCAAACAGGCATTTGTTTCGTGATTACTATAAATAGAAAAATCAAAATAAAGTATTAAAATGTACTAATATACTAACAAAAATTAAATTAAAATTTTACCCATTTTTGATATTACAGTTGACGGTAAATAAAGCATGCGATCTAGAACTCTGTTGATTTAATTTGGTGCTTCTTGTATGACGTGCTAAAATACCTTTCCTGAAATATTGCACAGCTTCATTGGGACTTCTCACGAGATGGGATGACGCAGAACACATTCTAGCAACTTATTATGAACAGCAATTATTGCAATTTATTATACACAAATATATATATTTATATATATATATATATATATATATATATACAGTAGGCCCTCGCTTTACACGGCACTCTGGGTACACGGTTCCCATACTACACGGAGCTAAAAATCCGACATCCCTCCGACTACACGGACTTCTTATTACACGGTATTTGGTCAACAGCCCATAAGTTCGTTGTGCAAAAGGGTATTGTTGTAAATTTTGTTATCGACTTTTATCTTTTAGACATGCCTGATTGTATAATAGCCGCCTAAGAACACGTTTGAGCTGATTACTGCGTCGCGCCAATTTTTGAATAAGGTGTCAATTTCGTCACGTCATTTACGTCATTTCGTCCGTATTTCTCCTACTTCAAGTTGTATTTCTTGGTCTCCATACAACGCGATAAAAATGGTGCGATTTGTACCAACTCTGAGTCTCTCATAACACGGTTCCCATACTGCACTATGTAAGGTTCCATAGAACGCACTACGAATTAGCCTGAATTGTATGTTAAATACGAGTTTCTTATAGCACGGTTCCTATACTGCACGGTACGCACTTGCCGCGTAAAGCGAGGGTTTACTGTATATATATATATATATATATATATATATATATATATATATATATATTATACCTTTCAGAGGTCTTTCAGCATCTCCTAGCAAATCATATGCCTTATCATTATATATTTCAATTCCAGATATTGAAATCGAAAAATATACAGAATTTTGAGCAGCTCTAAGAAAGATGTCATTGAGCGATCTTTGTAATAAGCCAGCATTTACACCATCTTCAGCCTATAATTATACTATATAAGTACAATAAAATAAATAAGACCATCATGAGATTGTTTGAAAATTCTGTTTACATTAATCCCACTGCCCATAGTGTGTGTTTTACCAGTTCCTGTGTGGCCATAAGCCATTATCGTACAATGATATCCTTCCAATAACTTTGTGACCATAGGATATATGAGCGATGCATAAAAGTTTTCTTGAGATTCCTCATTGTATATATGATCAAACACAAATGGTTTATCATCAGCAACAAGCATCTAAAATTATATTATGAATATTAAAATTATAGCATAGGCTTCTCGAAAGCTAATACATTTATTTAAACAAATTGTAACATTAAACTTTCTCAAAAATTTCTCACAATCAAATTAACAAATTACTTAGACCAAAATCAAATAATCACATTACCAAAATTGTAAAATGCTTGTAATGATAATGCAAATGCAAATAAAACTAAGCAAGATAAAAATTAAACATTGATTCAACTGCTTGATCAGGTATTACACCAGCTCATCTAATAAACATAATTTTAACTATAACTATGTAACTATTCCTACATGTCAAATTGTAAAGTTCATAGTGTCGAAGATATAAATTTGGATGTATGGGTTAAAAATATAAACAAGAAAAATATTTTTAACTACATTTGTTTGCATAATGGTTACTTCATGAATATAAGTTATTAACTATAGTATTATTATAAAATATATCAAGTGAATAATTATATATTACCTGAGGATCGTTAGGTAAGAACCTAATAGCTGGCACATTACCAGTTTCATGTTTTAAAAATGGTCGAACCCTTATAGCAACTCGAAATGTGTGTACTTTAGGCCAATTTTCAGTCATTTTCAGTAAAAATTATATATGTTCTGTTCAACAATCTAAACATAAGTCTGGATGAGCTTTTTCTGTACATAAATGTTTTTTGTGGTCTTTAGCAGATATTTTTTATTATTGTTATTTAAGTAATGGCATTTTTAATATAAAATTATTGGTTTACTGTTTGAAGAATGTAAAATAGAATTAACATCATATTATTATTGATAAAGCGGCACTGAAATTTTGACGGTTTGTTTGTTTGAAACCGAATAGAATGGTTGATACTTGTTTTTATAAATTAGTGTTGCTGCAGTTTAAAAAAATACGTTCGTTTTAATGTCAAAAAGTTAGAGAAGACATTTTTTTCGTTGCTGGCAATACATTGTAAACAAGAATATTTGACAGTTTTCTTGTTATATTGTAATCATTTAAATAATCCTTTATATGTTATGAATATTAATTGATACACATTTTTTTATGTTTTCAAATTGTCTAACATAAATTACATCTTGATTAATGTATTATTTAATTACATCTTAATAATGTATTATATTAGTAATGCATATATGTAAATTTGCTTAATGGGCTGGAGTAATAATGTTGTTACATTGGAATTAGAACAAGTGTGATGAGTTACTTTATATCATTTTATTAAAAATAAAAATATTCAAAATGAGTCGACGAAGATCTCGAAGTTCTTCTTCTTCTGGAAGTTTAGACAGTGAGGAGGAGCAGCGATTGAAAGATTTAAAGGAAAGAGATGAATTTGCCACAAGACTTAAGAAAAAAGATGAAAATAAGACTAGAAAAATATTGGAGGTGAGATTTTGCAGATAATATTTTGAGTACACTTTACCCATCATAATTTTCTATTATACAAAATGATCAATTGTATGATAAATATATTATTACAAAATTTTTGCATATATACAATATATGTGATATACAAATCGTTGCTGAAGATTACTTTATTTATAGAGCAAAATGTTTATTCTTATAACCAAATGTCTATTGTTATATACAATAATTTCAATTCTAATTAGCTGATATTTAGCATTTTCAAACCTTTATGATATATTTGATTACAGGCTTCTGGAAATAGATTTGAAGAAGCAGCCAAGCGGTTAAAATTAGAAGCTGAAGATCGAGATAAAATGTTACCTGTACTCAGAATTCAGTCCAGAAGAAAATATCTGGAAAAACGTAAAGAAGATAAAGTCGCTGAGTTAGAAGCAGATATAGCAGATGATGAATACTTGTTTGAAGAGGAAATGTATGCAAATATTTATTTATTTTAATATTATTTGGTAGAATTCAAAATAATTACATTTTAACATTTTGCTAGATTAACTGAAAAGGAGAAACGTGACAGAGAACATAAAAAACAATTACTTCAGATCGCTAAAGAACATGAAAAGGCTAGAGAACTTGAAAGGATTCAAAGATATCACATGCCCAGAGATATTAAAAAAGGAGAGACAGGTTAAACATACATCTAAATATTAATTATCTTATGTTAATTTCTCATAATATTACAAAAATTGTAGGTGAATATGTTGAGGTTGACGAAGGTGAAAAACTTCCCCATCATGAACAAAAAAAATGGGAGCAAGAACAGATGTCATCAGCTGTTTACAAATTTGGCTCACGGAGTGATTCAAAAAAGGTAATAATATTATTTTTTTAATTGCAACAAAAATTTGATAAAGATAATATATATTATTTTTACAAAAAAAATGTGTGACCACAGGATGAATATGAGCTATTATTAGATGATCAAATTGAATTTATACAAGCCTTGCGTATGGATGGTACTAAAGACAAAGATAAAAAACCTGTTCAAACTGAAGCGCAAAAGAAAAAAATGGATATAGAGGAAACTAAAAAGTCTTTACCAGTATATCCATTTAAAGAAGATTTGATTGCAGCTATTCGAGAACACCAGGTAATTAATAAAATAATAAAACCAAATATATGTTGGTATGATACTAATTTAATTTTAAATTTACTAGATTCTTATTATTGAAGGTGAGACTGGATCAGGTAAAACTACTCAAATACCACAATATTTATATGAAGCAGGTTTTACTGAAGATGGAAAAAAAATTGGATGTACACAACCCAGAAGAGTTGCTGCTATGTCAGTTGCAGCTCGTGTTGCTCAGGAAATGGGTGTCAAACTTGGAAACGAAGTAAGAAAATCTTATTTAAAATTAATTAACATCTACTATATGAATTTTTGTTCATTATATTAATTTATTGATTAACATTTTTTTTTTCAAATCATAATTCTAATTTAAATCTTAATGATATTTAATTTGTTATTTTTCAGGTTGGATACAGTATCCGATTTGAAGATTGCACTTCAGAAAGAACTGTGCTGAAATACATGACTGATGGTACATTGCACAGGGAGTTTTTATCAGAACCAGATTTAGCATCTTATTCTGTAATGATAATTGATGAAGCTCATGAGAGGACATTACATACAGACATTTTATTTGGATTAGTTAAAGATATAGCAAGATTTAGACAAGATTTGAAGTTACTAATATCTAGTGCCACATTAGATGCAGAAAAATTTTCAAACTTCTTTGATGATGCACCTATTTTTAGAATACCAGGCCGAAGGTTAGGAAGCAATTAATTACTAATACTAATTTTTTTTTTAGTATGTTTTTTATATATTTTTTACCCTTTATATGGTATGTATTTTTGTGTTTTTAGGTTTCCAGTAGATATATACTATACTCGTGCTCCAGAAGCCGATTATGTTGATGCATGTGTTGTTTCTGTACTACAAATTCATGCTACTCAACCTCTAGGTGATATATTAGTTTTTTTGACTGGTCAAGATGAAATTGAAACATGTAATGAAATGCTTCAGGATCGTGTAAAACGACTTGGATCAAAATTGAAGGAATTGATTATTTTGCCTGTTTATGCAAATTTACCAAGTGATTTGCAATCAAAAATTTTTGAACCAACACCTCCTGGTGCAAGAAAAGTTATTCTAGCCACAAATATTGCAGAAACGAGTTTGACCATTGATAATATTATTTATGTTATAGACCCTGGGTTTGCCAAACAAAATAATTTTAATTCCAGGACAGGTAAATTTAATGACTCTTCTATTAAAATAAAAAGATGAAAAATGAGTTAGTACTGATTATTAATTACTTGTAGGTATGGAAAGTTTAATGGTAGTACCAATATCCAAAGCATCAGCTAATCAAAGGGCTGGTCGTGCTGGTAGAGTTGCAGCAGGAAAATGCTTCAGATTATATACTGCATGGGCTTATGCCCATGAACTAGAAGATAACACTATTCCTGAAATACAGCGCATTAATTTAGGTAAACATAATATATATTTATTAAATTAACACCTTCCCTGATAATTGTTGTAAGTCAAATAACTTTGCTTTATTGGTGTTATCTTTAGCAAAAATCTCAGTTTCTAAAGATAAATAACTTCTCATTTCTCAATAATATGCAGTTTAATCATTTATCCATTCATCTCCTCAATTGATTTATATGGTTTATTTTTATTTTTCAGGAAATGCTGTGTTAACATTAAAGGCTTTGGGTATAAATGATTTGGTTCATTTTGACTTTTTGGATCCTCCTCCTCATGAGACATTGGTATTAGCTTTAGAACAACTATATGCATTAGGTGCATTAAATCATCATGGAGAATTGACAAAACTTGGTAGAAGAATGGCTGAATTTCCCGTTGATCCTATGATGGCTAAAATGTTATTGGCTAGTGAGAAGTAGGATAATGATTATGAAAAATATTAGAACTGCAAAACATACTCCTTAATATATCTTTTTCACAGATACAAATGTTCTGAAGAAATTGTTACTATAGCAGCTATGTTATCGGTAAACGGAGCTATTTTTTATCGGCCAAAAGATAAAATCATTCATGCTGATACTGCAAGAAAGAATTTTAATCACATTGGTGGGGATCATTTGAGTCTTTTGAATGTTTATAATCAATGGGCTGAATCTGATTTTTCAACACAATGGTGTTATGAAAATTTTTTGCAATACCGGTTAGTACTTAGACATGTAATTTAAATAATCATAAACTTACTTATTAATAATATTAATTTTTTTTAATAAATATTATTTAGTTCTTTGAAACGGGCTAGAGATGTGAGAGAACAATTAGTTGGTTTAATGGAACGTGTTGAGATTGAAATGGTTTCAGGATTAACAGAAACTGTTAATATCAGAAAAGCCATTACAGCTGGATATTTCTACCATGTAGCAAGATTATCAAAAGGAGGCAATTATAAAACGGCCAAACATAATCAGGTAAGTGATCATTTTTTACATTTGTTTTAATGCTCTTCTTATAATTGACAATATAAGATCGTTTTGAAATTCTGCAATAATTATGTTTTTTTTATTAAAAATAAATTGAATTTGAATACCTTTTTTAAAATTGAATTTGAAAACCATTTTTAAAAGAAGATCTGATTTTAATAAATGTAAAAATTAATATAATATTAAATTAGATAATGTTTTAAATAATTAAAATAGATTATAATGAAATCATAAGTAAGTTATTGATTTTGCTATATTCAATCATTTTGCATAAAAAAAAATTAGTTTTGTGCATCAGCTATTTTTCTTATAGAAGAAATTACATCTTCACATAGTATTTTGTCTGCTTGAGATTTTAAATAATATTAAGATAGGTTCAATAAAATGTGGAATTTCTCTGAGTCGATTTTGTTTATATTAGAATAATATTGCAGTTTAAATATTATGTGATTTTTATTTTCAGACTGTTATGATTCATCCAAACAGTTCATTATTTGAAGATTTACCTAGATGGTTGCTTTATCATGAATTAGTATTCACAACAAAAGAATTCATGCGTCAAGTAATTGAAATAGAAAGCAAGTGGCTTCTGGAAGTAGCTCCACATTATTATAAACCAAAAGAATTAGAAGATTCTACTAATAAGAAAATGCCAAAAACGATTGGCAGAGTGAAACCTACGGAAGCATGAATACTTTTGTACAAAATCTAAAGAAGTATACATTTTAACATAAATATACAATTTAAATGAAAAATAATTATTATTTTGACAAATCTTATAAATTATTCATAACTTTCATTTCATGAAATTTACATTTTTAATCTCGGTTTTAGGTAATACTCTCAATATGGTCTCATGCATTTGAAATAATCTATTGTATAATTTAAAACATTTGATGGTTTTGTTAATAATATGTATTGCAAATAGTCAGAAAGTATGGTTTGTGCTTCAGGTGCGTCTAGCATATAACTTTTATGATCAGCTTTCCTTTTGCTTTTATAGTCCAAATATCGTGAAAGTAATTCGATATCATTTTCCCAGCTCGAAGATAAATTTCCTGATATGTTGGAAATTGGATTCATATGTATTATGTAATCGCACCCTTCCCACTCATGCTTGACCATACGGCCGTCAGGCAATAGAACCGTCAAGGATTTTTGCACAATACCACAATTTTCAATAATAGTTTTTTCTATTTCTATAACTCTTTTAATAGAATTGCAAACCCAAGCTTTTTTGTACCCACTAGATTCGATGCATACTTTTGCAATATCTCCATTTATAAGCATTGTTGTTAATTCCACGCGGCCTTTGAAATTTGTAATAGCCATGTAGCGCATCAATATTATGCCAGCACCATCAAATAATAAATATTTTGCATTTTCAAATTCTAAGTTTCCACAGATTTTACGAACTTTATCTCCATACTTATGAGATTTGATCACGACATATCTATTTTCATCCAGTCCTATGTGGATACATTTTTCTTCTACTTTATCTTCAGATCGTGTTATATATTCGGTTTTCCTTTCTTCAATTAAAGTTAAGTTTAAGTCTGATGTAGATAAAATACTAGATCCTGCTGTGCATCCTTCTACGGAAAATTGTGAGGCAAGATACAGCAGTAAATGTTGGCCAACATTTTCTATGTTTATGCAGAAACCCCCAGATGTATCACAATCACTTAATTTTAAAATTCTAATTTTATCGGGTTTTGCATTATTATCATCTTCATTAATATCATCCTCGAAATCATCATCTTGAATGCGGTCAGACGACAAAACTACGTTTGTTTCTTTAATGAGTTTAGCTTCTTTTCTTTTGCAGTACTTTTTTTTGCACTGATGCCTACGTTTATGCTTTGCTGTTTTTACCTCTTGTGAATCTACAGAAAAGTTATGGAACAACTATATTCTTCACACAGAAAAAAATATTTATCTTTATTAAAAATAATAAAAAATATTATAAATAAAGCAATATTTCCAGCATATAGACCAAGAATTTCTTTACCTTGTTTAACTTGCATCGAGGTCGGTTTTGGATGAAAAAGTTCATTATTGATATCATCTGGATCACTTATATCGTCGTCGCATTGCTCATTAGGACAAACTTCCGAACATTTTTCAACAAACGGTACACATTCTCGATTATTATCAACATTCCGGCAATGACTGATTAATAAACTTTCTCTAAAACAGATTTTATCCAACGCATCCTCATCGAAATTTAAGACAATAATATTTTTAACATCAAATCGTGGCGGTTTAGTATTCATTTTATTTGAATTTTGATTAAATTATAAGGAAAATATCATTATGACTAGGTTTTAATTATAATATCTGTTTAAAATTATGGAAAGATTGTGACATTTCGTTGCTATGGATCTTTTAATTTGATGGCATCGTTTTGTTTTGTCAATACAATATGTGAGCGTTTTGTATAAGTTTCTAAATCCTTTTTTATTTCATTACTTTAAATTTTTTCAGTATAAGAATAGGTAAGAAGGCACTGCAAATAAAGAAAATCAAATTAAAGGCTACGTGCAATCGTTGCAGAAGCAAATAATTTATTTTATCATTGATTACATATGAAATAAATCCTATTAGATTCTGGTGTTTCAACATGGCTTCAATAACTGCAAAGCAATGTCCGCCGTGCCAGGCAAGAGCCGGACACAGTGAGGTAAATGAATATTTTGAATGTAATATGTATTTATATCAAATTTTTGCAATATTTTCTGCTGTTTGTTTTTGTAAATATTTATGAGAGGCAAAAATAAAACGTTTTTGACAATGTTATTGCTACATAACAATGGAGACTTTGGAAGGGATGTTCTTTAACCGGCGATTCTGTTTAGTACTAATTCAAGCCCAAATAATAATGATCAAAATTAAATAAGTATATATGTTATTATCATGTTATTATTGTATAAAAATAGACAGCATTAGAGATTGACCTGTTTAAATTATGCACAAATTGCTAATTATATATAATACTAGCAAACCCGACGAACACCAGTTGGTTTCGTGAGAAAGATGAAGAAATTTTTTGTTTTATATTTGAAAAGAAAAAAATTGATTTTATTATACAATAGTAATGAATTTATTTCGATTACAAAAATAAAGTGGTTTTTAGTTGAACTTCTTTAAGTAATTGAAAGTGAATCCGCAAATTATCCGTTTCATTGAAGTGCTATTTGGTAAACCACATTTTTTGTTTTTTGGTACAAACAAAGCGGATGGTTTTCCAACTCGTAAACAGGCAACGTATAACTGCCCCTATGAAAACAATAATTTTATAAATAATCTATTTGAAATTTATCCCGCAAACACTAAGCTATTGGCCTTGCGACTTGTTAATTGTCATTGCGAACGCAAGGCGAACTGGAAATTGCAATCGTTTGAAGTCAAACGGAAGACCAGACAGAATCATTGGTATGCCACCAAATCGCCAGCAATTTTTGATTGAATGGTGAAATTCAGTGCGTGTACATCATATTTCTTGGCGGCTCGTTGACTTAACCAAGCATAATTCTGATAATTCTCACTAATGTCATTACTCGAATTTTTAATTACGGTGCGTGAAGTTCCAGCAATTTGCATTGAAGCACGATGCCATGCACCACTAATTTTCTTAGCTATAAACCTTGCGGAGCCCTAGACCTTTCTGACGAATGCAAAATTGTCGCAATCGGCGTTCTGGAGTTAAATCGTTAGGAAGGAAAACCCGACTTATTTTTATACATATGTCTACATATACATACATATATATATATATATATATATATATATATATATATATTATATTTTATGTATACATAGATAATAGCAGCAAACAATGCTTCCATGTCCTTGCATAGAACTATTTTCTGTTAAGGCGTTACAAATTTATAGATCCATATAGGTATCCATATATGGATACCCAAATAGATAAAATTCGTTCATATTATACTTTAAATACAGCATGGTTTTACGTAACTGTTATTATGCGTACGATATAATATATAACTATAATGTGAATTGATTATTTAATCTATTATGTAATATAGCATTTAAGAATTCCAAAATTTCAATTTAATTATCATTTTCCTTCAGATCAACTATGACCAATCAGAAATAGAGCCTATAACCGACTGCTCTCCGGCTGTACCAGGAGACGAATTAACGGTAAACCGGAATCAGCGTGGCATTGACCCTTGTCCCCAGGTTAAAGCAAACGCAGATGGCATGGCCCTTGACGGCACTGCAGTAGGAGCCCCAAAACGAGATGAGAGGGCATGTTACATGCCGAAAGCCGACGATTATATGCCCGCTAAAAAAGACCATGCTATGGGACCTATCGGTATATGTTGATCGAGCACTTTCCTAAATTGCCGTAGTAAAATTACTATAAGTTATTGAAACCTAAAAAAAATCTATCATTGTTCATAAATTCCAAACCTCTTCTGATTTTCTAGGTCCTTGGGCTACTGGTAGGGTAGATTGGGGTCCTTTGGCGGGAATGACTGGAACTCGTCCAATTGTGGATCAGTATTCCATCACAAGATATAGCGAAGGCGAATGGCGTCGACATAACAAAGATCTTTTGAATAAAGGAGATAGCGCAATGCAAGAAACATACAGGTGACTAATCTTATGATGAAATACTGTTAAATATATTCCATGACGAAAGAATGAATTTAGTAAATCCTATGTGTTTCAGAAATTCGTATAACTCGAAAAATGCTATGTCCGAAATCTTTGCTATTGCTGACAAAAATGCAGCTGATAACGCCAATAGAATGGTGAATCGAACTCAAGAATTAAACAGGTAAAAATTAAATATAATAATATGTATTTCGTCTTATCTTTTTATAGATTGCATAATTAAGTTAATTTAATAATACAATCTATTAATAGATGGAAAACAGAATTGGAACGAGCAATATTTGCAATGAGTGAAGAAGTACAAGTACTAGAAGAGCAGAGACGAAGGTTGAAAGGTGCCGGATCTGTACTTAAAATACCAGAATCTATTGGTATGATATAAATATCAACTACTTTTTCATGCAGATACCCAATCAAAATATATGATATATAAATTATAAACTGGGCACTTAATTCATCACAGTATCAGAATGTATCGAGCGAAGATCCGGGCGCATGGAACCAGATTTGGTCCGCGATAACGTTGAAGAGGAATTAATACGAGAATTAGCTTTGATAAAAGAAATCAATGACTTATTTGAAAGAACTTTGAAAGATGTCGAAATGCAATTAGTAGCTAATAAAACTGCCAAAGCGAGACTCGAGTGCGATTGGAGCGATAAACAACAATCTTTTGAAATTGATACTTTGAATTGTAGTCTCACTATTAAAAGTAACATCATACTGTTTAAGCCAGGTGCGACCAGACTTGGACCACAGTGAGTTTTCATATAAAATAAATTAAGCTTTTTATAAAAAATTATGTATTTTTCTTTGTTTAATTATTTGTCCTTCTTAGACAATCGACTTTAGAACACTGGGAGCATTTCACACGGGAGACCCTAAATGAAGGAGAAGCAGTTCGACAACAATCAGTAACTTTACGGGGTACACTTGACGCAATTTTGATGAATGCTGCTCGAGATCTTAGGGAACAAGCAGATCGAGTTGATCTAGCCTTTGCCGAACGTATCAACTGTAATGAAGAATTTCGTTTGAGATTGGAAAATGATTTGAAAACAGTAAGCACAAAATTGATTTCAAAATGTTTCAGGTCTTAACTATTACTGATAATTAACAGCATACTTTAAATATGAAGAGCATGTTAATTAATAACTGTTGTTTTAGTGTTTAGATCGGTTAGCAAGTACAGAAACTTTAATAGAGTGCTTAAAAGATAGTTTGAGAAGAAATGATAACGCAATGAAAGTTGCTCAAACTCGACTGGATAATAGGTTGCAAAGACCGCGTGTTGAAAATTGTCGAGATGGACCATGTTTTGGGTAAAAATTAATATTTACAAACATTTGAAAAAAATTTAACCATCATCATCAATTGCATGCAATTGCTCAAAACTTCTATAATATAGTAATTTCTGTATTATTTGATTTACAGCCTTATAGATGAAGTGAAATCGCTAGCAGATGGTGTAACAGCTCTTAAAGTTCAATTGGCGGAAGCAGAGAAATGCAAAGCGGAAGCACTTTTGGCCAGAAGTAATTATGAGCGGGAAATAATGATAAAAAGAAAAACTTTACAAATTGATCGGGACAGGTGCCAATGGATGAGATCTCATTATCCGTCCGCAGCAGCCTTGAGCGGACATTGATTCAAATTTGATGTACCAAAAATTAGTTATCGCAAAATAGGTGGTTATGTTTGAATACCAAGAATTTGTAGTAAGCTTCAATTTTGTACTTTTAATAAAGAATTGAATAATAACTATTATTTTATTTACATATTGTCTTCATATATTATAATAATTTAAGGGGAATCCCTGCTTTAGAGGCTTTACCAAATCGATTTTTTTTGTTACAAAAATGTCTTCCAAACCTAGAAAAGACTATGTCCCTAAAATTTCAGAAACAAATTCAAAATATTTTTGGAGTTATAGAAGAAACAGTGTGCAAGCGTCAAGCATATATACGAGCGAAGTGAAAACTTCTAGGCGCGGTTTCTCGGTTTTTAATTTTTCGATTCTTTCAAATTGGCGGGAAGATAGAAAAAGAACTAAACTTCCTATCGAAGTCGAGACCGAGTTCGAAGCGAGATAAAATTCATTGTATCCAGGATAAAATTATATTCTAGTTGAACCTAAAAACTTGAAAAAAAAGTTATAATTAACCCACTTTTTAGACAATCTAAAGTGAAATTTTGTATCAAAATTTTGATACATGACTTTTAAACATGACTTTTTTTCAAGTTGCGAAAAATTGGAGAATTCTTCATTTTTTCTGTATTTATTAGGTTCAACTAGAATCTATACTATTGAAAATACATATATTTGTTAAGATTTTTGTATTTCTGATGGAACTTGTAACCTGCATCTTTCCCGCCAAATGACACCTGCACGCACGTGGCGCATGGCAAAGTGCTTGTACCCGACATATTATGATATATATTTTGATAAAAAAAAATTGAGAAGAATGTTGGAATATATAATAATAAAACCTGAAAGTTTCGTTTCAATTACATATGTATTTCCTTCCCTAAACATTCCTAAAAAAGCGAGTTTTTGAAGCCTGTAAAAAGCATGCTCCCTCCTTAATAAAGATAATCTAAAATGTAAATTGAAGAAACTGATTATGTTTGTTTGTATTTTATAATTTTACAAATAGGAAGCATATAATTTCGTCAGTATTATTTTCAATTATTGTTAAAGATGCTCGTAAATCAAGATTTAAAAAAAACTACTCATGTTTATTACATAGTCAAAGTATCAATGACAAAGCCATACAAAGCATTATCATGAAGGATTAAAAGCAAAGCAATATATCTACAAAAGCCTCAAAATAGTTATTCACACAAAGTATAAATGAAGTACATCATAATAATATGATGTATGAGGCCGAATTCTGCATAACAAGAAATATCTTAAATTTGGGCTTGGGTTTCAATAAAAAATGAAAATAAAGAAATGAAAAGTAATGAACTATTACATTATAATTGAATGTTACTAGTGTCTTACCTAAAAATTAATCGTATAAATTATTTAACTTAAATTTAATAACATTATTACATTATTATTGTATTACTATTAAAATCATATGTATTATTTTGCCGCGTTTTTTGTGTGGAGCATCTGCTTAAAATGTACCATAATCCCTTCTCTGGCAACACTAAATATTTAGGAAATGCTGGTCGAATGACACGATCGGTCATTCTGAAATCGCTCCCAGTGGCATTAATACGTAAGTAAAATTCCGATCTTAAATCTTCTTACCAGAAATTAATCATGGGTTTATTTAATTTTTATTACGTTTGAACGTATTGATATTTTTGATCTGTATTTATCGGCATGTGTATTTTTTAAATATGAAGTTTAATTTGATTGTAGTATTGAGGTTATCTTGGTGTTTTGCCATGTGTTTCTTAAAGACTACTTTTTTTAGGTTGCACCGTAGCTCTAAAGTGACGTTACAATGTCGGGAGGCTTGGATGTTCTTGCCCTACGGGAAGATGATGTTACCAAAATGTTAGCCGCATGCACCCATCTTGGCAGCGAAAATGTGAACTTCCAGGTACAATACATTACAAAACAATATTCTAATTAAGTTAAATTCATTAAAAATTAATTTATAAAGCCTTCGATTCATGTAGATGGAGCAATATGTGTACAAACGCCGTGCTGATGGAGTACATGTAATCAACTTACGTCGCACATGGGAGAAGCTTTTGTTGGCTGCTCGTGCTATTGTTGCTATTGAGCATCCAGCTGATGTCTTCGTTATTTCCTCCAGACCTCAAGGACAACGTGCAGTATTGAAGTTCGCCAACTATACTGGTGCTACTCCAATTGCTGGACGTTTCACTCCTGGTGCCTTCACTAATCAGGTAATAAATTTTTAATAATCTTTATATTAGATAATTGAACATTCTGATTTAAAATCTGCTTATTGAATTATATGTATATTTAATGTTTTAGATTCAAGCTGCATTCCGTGAACCACGTTTGCTGATTGTTACTGATCCTCACTCCGATCACCAACCCATCACTGAGGCTTCATATGTGAACATTCCTGTTATTGCATTCACCAACACTGATTCTCCATTGAAATTTGTTGATATTGCAATTCCATGCAACACCAAGGTGAGAATTTTATTCTTAAATGCTTGTTTTTAGTTCCCAATGATGATAAATTGGATCCAATTTATTAAAGATAATGATTACAAATATTTACACTGAAAATATTTAATGTCAATAAACATTAAATTAAGTTATTGCTCATGACTAATAAAAATATTTTTTTTTTAGTCCAACCATTCCGTTGGTTTGATGTGGTGGTTGTTGTCCAGAGAAGTCTTGAGACTTCGTGGATCCATTCCCCGTGAGAAGACTTGGGATGTCGTAGTTGATTTGTTCTTCTACCGTGATCCAGAGGAAGTAGAGAAAGAGGATCTTGTTCACAAGGAAGTTGTGGCCAAAGTTGAGGTAAATTATAAATTGAATGTTTTACATATTAAATACCTTGTATTATTTTTTTTTGACCACAACTAATACTAAAATGATGACATCTACTAAGGAACCTATGATTGTTCAGAGATTTTAACTTAACTCGTCTGATTCTCACAACTACTAAACATTTTAATTCATATCATGCTTGAAATTATATTTACTGTGCAATTTTTCTTAACAGACTGCTGTTGCTCATGATACTGCTGAAGTATGGGCAGGAGATGAGCCAGCCACTCAATTATGGACTGATGATGCACCTGTTGCTGCTGTTCCGGCTGTTTACCCAGCTGCTGCCAGCCAAGATTGGGCCGAACAAGTGCAAGAAGAATGGGCTGCCAACCCTACCCCAGCTGCTGGTCAAACTACTTGGGGAAGCTCCACACAAGAATGGTCATAAATCAAATGATACTTTTTGTATTGGATAAATGAAATAAATAAAAATTAAAATAAAGATAGTTTTTTAATATATGAAACTGAATGACTTATTTTCAGGAAATACTTATTTCAACTTAGCCCAATTAAACTTCTATATAATTCATAGCCGCTCTCACATTTGATATTTTTTTATGAATAAATACACACTAAAAAAAACTTATTTACAAATGTCATAAATGTGCGTAATTAATTAATATTTAAACAATTCTCAAATTCTGCCATACATTTTTGTTTTATATAATAAAATTTTATATGATAAAACCGATAACTGATAAAAATTAGTTTTCTCACATGGCAATAAATCATGTAACATAACCTAAAAAGTGAAGGCAGGCCCTCCACTGACAGCTATTTGTTTTTATCTTAAATTTGCTTCTAATGTAATTAAATATATAAAATGATTCGTTCTATGACATGCATCCAAGGCAGAGGTATATTTTTAACTTACTCATAAAATACTGAAGCTTATAATCTATATTCCTACATTAGCTTTGTTTCAATTAACCGCCGGTGTACGTATGCATTCTTCAAAACCGAGCCCTGATTCCAAACCAGTGAGCCCCAGAATTGAGGAATTTAGAAAAAAATTAAGAGAAAAGACTCCTATTGGAAAACTTGATGAACTTGATAAGCATCCTTACCAGGAAAAAGAGCCACTACCCCCATGGCCTGATAATACAAATCCACACACAGGTAATTTTCATAATTTTAATATTCTTTCTTGTTAGTTATGTATATTGAAGAATTATTTAAAAACAGGTGAAATTGGTGGACCTCGCGGCCCAGAGCCTACACGTTATGGGGATTGGGAAAGAAAAGGAAAGGTTTCTGATTTTTAGATCAAATATTTGAAATATATCTTGCAAATTATTTATTACCATAGTATTATTATATATTAATGTTATTTGAATATTTCAATAATCAGGCAATTCTTGATCACCCATTTTTTCTCTTATCATTTTGATGCTGAGGTCCCATAGTTCTTTGGCTAGAGTATCACTTTGGCCTAATTTTGAAGTTTCACAATAATAGCAATTATTAAGATAAATTCCTGAAACACCTTCAAGTTCTAATGCGGTTGCTGCATACACTGTCGTGCTTGCTGCTTGTTGCTGTAATTTGTTTATATAACATATAGAAAAAAGTCATATATATACTAATTTTATCATGATCCCAATACTTCATATTTTATATACTATAATTTAATTTATAGTTTAATTTCATATTTGACTTTTACTATTATTTTTCTCTGATGAGAAATTAATTACTCTAATAGACCAAAATTCATACCAAAGATTTTGTGAAGGGGCGAACAAGAGCAAATAGAATTCTCATAAGCCACCAATTTCTCTGTATATTTGTTGATACCATATTTCCTGGATGAACTGAAAATACTGATATACCATGATTTGCCCACCATCTTTTTGATAGCTCTCTCACAAATAAGACATTGCACAGTTTTGCATTATTATAAGCCATCATTGACCAATACTTTTGCATAGGAACTGACAATAAATCTGGAGTAAGATTATCTTTGGGAAAATTTGCAAATCTGAAATAGATCGTAATGTTCTTAACCATTTCTGCTATGCTCTCTTTTTTATACTCATTTAGTAATTTAAAATAACTAACCTATGTGATTCAGATGATAAAGACACTACTCGACTGCCTTTTTTTAATAGTGGTGCCAATAAAAGTGTTAAATACATGTGTGACAAGTGAGAAACTTGGAATGTTGTTTCAAAACCATCTACTGTAGTTGAATAAGGTAAGCCAAAAACACCAGCATTCAATATAAGCATGTCAACTTTTCTAAAATGGGGTTTTACAAATATTTATTATATAATTTGGAAGCTAATCGTTTGAATTTTTTGATGTAAATATTTACTTTAACTCATCCAAACATTGTAACGCAAATGCTTTCACATTTTCCAAGCTTGATAGATCAAGTTCCATTACACGACACCTATTTGCAGCATCAGGTTTTTCTTTCCTAATCTTTTCAATGGCCTCTAATCCTGAATTTAGATTTCGGCAAGCCATAATCACATTACAACCATGTTTTGCTTGAGTTAAGGCAGTTTCATAGCCAATTCCACAATTGGCTCCTGTTATAATTGCAATTTTATTTGACAGATCTCGACCATGTAATACCTGAAATAGTTTAAGAGATCTTGAAATACTATTATAATCATTGTAGAATTATAAAAGAAATTTGGCTTTGTGTTTACTTGTAAAGCAGTTGTTGAGGCATCAAATCTTTGTCTGATATCATGAGGATGTGTTTTTTCTTCAACTGCAAAAGCTAACCTTGGATCAGTATATGTTGTGCGATTATTTTCTTTATCAAAATATGAAACTTTTCCTTCAGAATCAACTTGTTTTACCCAACCAAAGGGCAATTCACCTGAGACTACTTTCTTTTTGCCTGTTCTAGGGTGAGTCCACTGCGTTCCTTTAGTGATATGGCTATTAAATCATTTAAAAAGTTATTAATATTTTTTTCTGGTTAAATTAAAATCTGGTTGGTATTTACTTCACATAAAAGACGCTGCCATCAGCAGTGGCTCTTTCCTCCCATGCTGGTGGTAATTCATCTTCGCTGTCAGAGTCAGGCAAAATAATAGGCATTTTGTCAAACTATTGTATAAATTATATTTAATTATGCTCAATAAATAGTTACATATCTAAATCTGACATATCAATATCCACAAAATTATGGTATCAATAAATGCTTTATATCTAATCAGTGAATTCAAATTGATAAATATGTGCCAGTATTTCAAATACTTTGTACAATAACGCGAACGTGACTAGAGATAATTCTGTATTATTATGCAACTTTTTATTGTTTGTTTAAAATTAAAGTTTAAGGACGATTTGATCTGTCGAATTGTCAACTGTCACTTTGACGTTTGTTTGTTTTGACGTTCACCGATCAGTGATACCAATATTAATTCCAAAATTGTTTTGGCTAGGGAGGGAAAGGAGCCCGAATCTTAATTTCGATATGTAAATTTAAAAAAAAAGATGTTTCATGGAATATTTGATGTGAATACAGTTTTATTTAGTTTATTTTAACAATATAGTTTTGTTTAATTGTGTAGTTCTTTTGCATGTTTATTTCTATTCCATTTTTTTGCAATTTGTTAATAACTTTTGTTAATGAAGTAAAACTGTTTTTACTCCAGTCAGTTGTAGTGGGTAAAATTCAAATTTAATTATTTAAGAAAATTATTAATTTAACAAACATATTATTAAATATTGATGAATATATTCTTCATCATTAATTGTTGCTGATGGTTACAATTGACATTTATCCGAAAAATATTTTTTGTTGGTAATTTGTGTTTGTTTTTTCAATATGGCAGTTTGATAGTTTAACGACAAAACAGACAAACGTCAAACTGACTGTTGACAGATCAAATTGTTCTTGTTGTTATGTAAATAATTGTTTTTTTATTTGAACATTAAAAATGAAACTTCAAAAATAATTAAAATAATTTAAAAACGTTTAGTTATTCCATTCTAATAGTTTAGACACAATTGGTGTGATTGTTTGTTATCATATACAGAAATAATTTTTATTTGTAACGCTCACAAAACTCATTGATAAATAATAGAGTGCAATAAGTAGAAAAATTATATGAAAATGGATGATTTGAGAAATATTAGTTTGAGAAAATTTTAAACAGAAATTGAATTAAATTGTAAGTCAATTTTTAAAATGTAATAATAGTTTATCAAATTAAACATAATTCAATCGAATTCTATGCAATTTTTACAGATATTATAATAATATACTGATATTAACTACGTTCAAAAATAATCATTAAATGGAATTAATTCATCTATACAAATAATCTTCAAGAGGCAAAAATAATGGAAAAATACATCTTATACGCCGACGATATTGTAATAGAACAAAATACTAGATGAAATGATTAACAAGGACATGAAATTATATTTGGAATGGCTAATTGAAAATAAATTAACGATTAACATTGGAAGAACTAAGTACATATATTTTAAACGAAAAAAGTAAGAAAATTACTAAAATAAACATTAAAATAAATAATACAGAGATAGAAGAAGTGAAATACATGAAATACTTGGACCTTATAATACATGAAAAGGTAACATGGATAGAACATATAAATGAAATTAAAAAGAAATAGCGGCATTAAATAAGGTGCTATTTTTTAAAGCACATATAATACCCATAATTTTATATAGAATAACAACTTGGAGTCAAACAACTAAAGCTAACTTAAATGACAAAGAATAGTAAACAAAGCCATAAAAATATCAAATAACTTTCCACATTTAACACCCACCAAATTCACTAAACAACATAATTAAAATAGAGAAATGCAACTTAATACATAAAATGAAATATAACATAATTAAAACAAGTACAACAATAGGCATAAATCGAGATATACACGAACACTACAATAGTCACAAAAATTTTCATATTGAACATAAAAGAAAGAAGAAATTGAGAGAAAATGTGATATGGTAAGTAAAATATATAATAAACTGCCAATCGGTATTAAGAATACAAGTGATGACAATAATTTCAAAAGGAAAATAAAAAAATATTATAAAGAAATTGAAGATTGAATAGATATTTAAAGACATTTTAAATATAATAAATATTATATTATTGTATAATAAAATGGACAAATGATATGTATAAATAAAATATGAAAATTGTTTCATAATCTTTCATACCAGACACCCCTGCCTGACTGAGATATGAAAATAATGTATAAATAAATAAAACAAAAGTAAAAAAAAAAATACAAGAAAATCGACTTTTTGAGAAATATTAGTTTGAGAAAATTTTAAACAGAAATTGAATTACATTGTAAGTCAATTTTTAAAATGTAATATTTAGTTTAATAGTTTATCAAATTAAACATAATTCAATCGAATTCTATGTAATTTTTACAGATATTATAATAATGTACTGATATTAAAATTACATTGTAAGTCAATTTTTAAAATGTAATATTTAGTTTAATAGTTTATCAAATTAAACATAATTCAATCGAATTCTATGTAATTTTTACAGATATTATAATAATGTACTGATATTAACTACGTTCAAAAATAATCATTAATTGGAATTAATTCCTAATCATTGTTATCAATTTTATCAGTTCTGTTCTTGGTATTATCGAACTTCTATTTAAATCATTATGATCATCCCATCTGATCATAAGAAGTGCGCATGAATGCTTGCATTCATGTTTTGCGATATGACAGACGAACGGCGGTTGTACATGCGGAAACATTGAAACCGTTCACCGCCTGGTTTAAATATGTAAAAATATTGAATCGAATTTAAATTTAATCAGATAAGTAATATTGAACTTAAAAATTCGAAGTTTCTTCTTCCATTCCTAAATTCCAGTGCATAAATCGCATTTTCAGTCAATAAATTATTTGTTTATTTGTTTGTTATTTTTTAATTTCGTTTTTATTTGTGTTATAAGTGAAACGTTATAGTCATTTTGAACCTGTTATAATTAAGACAATATAAAGTGAGTTTCTATTAAATAGTATTCAAAATTTTTTATTTGAAAATGTGAAGTGAAGTTTTTTGGAGTTTGGCTGAATAAATTGCTGATATTTATGTAAGTCATTACAATTTCATTTTAATTAATTTATTATTTATATGAAAAATAATTTATAATAATATTTACATTGTATTTTCAGAATTGATTTTATGTAAATATAATATATTTATATAAAATTAATTCTTATAATATATTTATATATAAATATATATATATATTTTTTTAAGTTTTACATTGGTATATTAAAAATA